CATGCTATTTGACAAACGGGCATGCATATTAGTTCTTAGCGCATGCTCATTTATTATAGGTTTCTTTAGGGATCATCTTGACGGTGTGGAAGATTTTTTTAGAAATCATGGTTGATTAGATGACACTATTTTGAAAGACTATTTAGGAAAAAACTAATATCAAATCCTAGATTATTCAAAATTATCCCAACTTTCAATAAATACATTTAATGCAGTCATGTCTTTTAGTAGTTTCGTGACCTTCGTCCCACTAACATTGCGTCATGAGGGAGTGATGCGGTCATTAAGAGAAATGAGTTTATATGGTTGATATAGAGTTCATAAGGTAACAAAAGTAAGAATGATTCATTAATGGGGCGGACCAGGAACTATACAATAACTTTACCAAATTTGGTATGACACAATTTTAGTGGGGCGGACCGGGGAAAAAAAGATTAAACAATCTTAGCAGGGTGAAGGGATCGGAGTAATTAATTTATAATGACTAAAATACCTCCTTAGGAATAGCAAGAAGCTCCATAAAATAGTAAATAAATAAATATCATGGTTGGGGGAGTTTAATTATAAGCTTTGATATTTGTAAGATTTTTTATGTGGCAATGGTAAACCATAAAAAGTGTGTATTGAGATAAATCCAACATTAAGCAGTGATAAATGTATACAACTGTAGAAATAAATATAATGCAAGAACTAGCTATTTTAACGTGGAAACCCGAAAAGGTGAAAATCACAGGACTTATTGTGCTAATAATGTCCAAGGCACTCTCATTCTCATTAGACTCTCCTTACCATTTTACATAATACAAGTATCAAGCTTTGGAAGTCATTAATGGCGTTCTAAGCTATCTAGAGAGAAAGAGGAGGAAAGTGGACAAGAAGTAGAGGATCCTCAAAACATGAAGGAAAACCTCCTATTTATAGAAAATAGGGGAGGGGCACAAGGTTGGCTTAATGAGCCAAAATGGGCCCAAAGGGCCGGAATGAGCTGAAAGGGCCGAAATGGACCCCAGCGATTGAACTCCGATCTGTGCTGGGGTAACGTTTTGTGTAACATATCCCAACATTGTATATTTGAGAAGTACTCCCTCCGTCCCATAAAATTCTTCCAACGAACTTTGAGTTGGCTCGCATACTAAGGAAGTCATGAATGAAGATGTTGTTATGGGTTAAAAAAATACGTATTTTGTTGTGTTAAATATGTTAGGTGATTTATCACTACAAAAAAACACCCCTGTAGTCACGGATTTTAGCCCCAATTCCGTTTCCGGCGTGTCTTATTTTATTCCGGCACTTAGTCACAGACAAATCCGTGACTAATTCCGTGACTAAAAAAATTAATTTTCACCTCTCACAATTTATTTCGCACCGGTATTTTGTATGGATTAAATTAGTCACGGACAAATCCGTGACTACGTCCATGACCAAAAAACGAATAATATTATTCCCACGCGCAATTTACACGGATTGGCTTAGTTACAGACAAATCTGTGACTAAGTCTGTTACTAGGATTTTTATATATGCATGAGCAATTCATTCAACAGAACCACATCAATTCATTCCCAGTATATATATATATAATGCATTATCTGTTTGAAAGATCGAAGGATGTAGTCTATCTTATGTGATTTTCCTTGTTTATGCAGATAAGGTATGTTATATGATTTTTTTTATTTAAAATTAGTTGGTTCAATTTAAATAATTAAAACTATTAAATTAGTGAGGTTGTTAATTAATTAACAATATATTTAACTATTAACGTAGTGGTGTCGTAAAATTAATTAAATTTTTAGGTTTATAAAATAATTTAATTAAAATTAGTTAGCTAAACGTAGGTTTAAACGTAGTGATGCATTAAGGTGGTGTTTGGAACTGATTTTAAAGCAGAAGCAGAACTAGAATCAATTTTCAGAAGGTGATCACCTTCAGCTTCTAAAAAAAACTGATTCTAGGAGTAAATTAGAGCACCAGAATCACTTCTGCACTTTCACCCAAACACTCCAGCTTCTGCTTCTGCTCTCTGAAGGAGCAGAAGCAGTTATAAGAATCAGATCCAAACACCCCCTAAGTTAAATTAAGTAAAATTAGTTAGCTAAACGTAGGTTTAAACGTAGTGATGCATTAAGTTAAATTAAGTAAAATTAGTTAGCTAAACGTAGGTTTTAACTAATTATGTTAAATTAATTAGTTAAATTAGTTAAAATTTTGATAATATTAGTTAAATTTAAATATTAGTTTATTGAAATGTGTTTAAAAAGTTTGTTAATTAATTAACAAAATGAATTAGTTAAAATTAGTTAAACGTAGGTTTAATTTAAATGTAGTGTTAAATTACTTAAATTTTTTATAATATTAGTTAAATTTAAGTATTAGTTAATTCAAATGGGTTTATATATATATATATATATATATATATATATATATATATATATATATATATATATGCTCAAATTATTAGATTTTATTATTAGCAATAAACGTTAAGACCTAATTTAGGATTTGTAATGGGTTAAGTTTGGATTAAAACATTACTTAGATTTTGTGAATTATTATTGTGAATTATGTGAAGTTCATTTAGTTTAGAATTGTTTATTGTGTATTATTGATTAGATTTTGATAATTTTACTATTGTGAATTTCATTTAATTTAGTAAATTGTTTATTGTGTATTATTAATTAGATTTTGATAATTTTAGTATTGTGAATTAATGTCATTAACGTATTGTTTGTAGTTTAATAATATTAATTGGACGTTAGTTAATTTTAGTGAAATTTAGTGAAATTTAATAAATAATTCTGGTCACATATTAGTCACGGATCATGGTCGTGACTAATCCGTGACTAAACGTAGTCACGGATAAAAGTTTGTGACTACACTTAGTCACGCCAATTTAATCACGGACGTAGTCACGGACTAAATCCGTGACTAAAGAAGTTAGTCACGGATTTTTAACACTACGGTCCGTGACTAAGTTCGTGACTACGGTCCTGTTTTTTTGTAGTGTATTCTATATGCTAACAAATCAGGAAACAATGGATTGTACTGAAGTTAAGGCTATAATATAAACATATTTTATTATCTAGTATGCGCCATAAATTAGAAGATTTTAAGGCTCTTAAATTTATTGTGAACGTCTTCTATTTAATTGTGTTATGTGAAACTGTTCGAAAATATTCCATTTAAATGCCCTTGGACCATTTATATAATTTAATATATATTGGGGACATTTTTGTCTTACAATTAAGTTTGCCATATGACAAATTTGGTCTTTGTATTTATGTATAGTTAACATATGATGTGTATGTTTTAACATTAAGTAATACATAAGAGGCCAATTAGGTTTCTTTTGATACAAAATATAAAAGGCATCAGCCTATTCAATTCTTACGACAAACGAACGAGCACGTTCCTTGGTCTCAAAACACCTATAATAAGAGACCCAAGGGAGAACCCGTTCAATCCATCAGAAATCAGATTTTGTATCCTTAGAGAATTCAAAGACATCATGACTTCATCATCTTCACCATCAACATTTGGTTTCTCCTCAACCGGTTAGTGTTCTTATAGTTTGATTATATGAATTTTATCATGTTTTAGTGAGATTAGATCCTTAATTGAGACTGAATTTCTCGGACTTCATCATCTTCACCATCAACATTTGGTTTCTCCTCAACCGGTTAGTGTTCTTATAGTTTGATTATATGAATTTTATCATGTTTATATACTCAGTAATATCTCACTTACGTTAATGAAATTCGAAATTTTCTATGCGACTAATTGATTATCAGTTTTTGCCGAATGTTATTTCCGCTGATTCTGAACTGATTAATTCTTTGTTCTTGCCTCTAATAACGATGATGTAATTCGGGTGATTTTTTATAAAATCGATGGGTGAGAGTGAATTGATCGTGAATGATTGATTTCATTCGTAAGAGGCAAACTGCCTTATTTACAATTACAAGTGGTTCGGCTACACCACTTAATCAGCCAGTACGTATAGCATAATTAATTGATATATGTTTCAATTATCATATTCTTTCTATTAAAACTTGCTTTTGATTTGAATCATTTTTGTTTATACTTTTCGGTTGTTCAGATAGAACTAAGTACTGTATTTTTGGTCCCTGCATCGAAGTCAATGGACCTGCCACTATGTTGATTTCCATATGTGTAAATGCAGACAAGTAGCACTTAATTTAATACGGTGATTGATCATTCTTTTAAAACACATTTGATGTGAACCATTATGTTTCTTTTGGGTTGTTTTGGATAAAACTGATTATCATTAGTTTGGTGCTTTTAAAATCTGAAATCCCCAACCGATTATGGAACAAAGAGTGTTCTCTAAACCGGTATATCTAGATACTGTCCATGCATGTATAATGAAAGTTAGTTTTCTAAATATTCCAGATTATACCCATTAGTAACTGACAAAATTGATCATTTGCAATATGCTTAAAATACAATCAATGATTTGGGATTAATATTGCCGGAAATTCATTTTTATGCCATGTTCAAAGTTGTGTTATGGATTATTGGTTAATTATTTTATTGTCAAACTCAATAATCGGTCCAACGAAAGATTATTGATTTTGACTATCTTAAACAATTATATGAATTTTCTTTTAACAAACCCAAAGGTGTGTTATTCGATATACCGGAGTATATACGGTCAAGAAAGAGGACTACCGAAAAAGGACTATATATGGTCAAGAAAACAATAGTCAGGTACCAAAAATGGATAGAGTGAAAGATGAGGACTAAATATGAAATTAATTCAAAATTAGAGGGTTGAATTGAAGCTTCCTTCAGTTAAGAATTCCAATTACTCATTCTTACCCCTTGTTTGGAACTTTTTTGGGGAGAAAATGGGAGGTCGAATACTCGAATATACTTGATGTCATTTAGGAGATGCCACATGTCATAAAAAGCTCCAATTTTGAATTGGCAGGGAAATTAACTAATAAGAAATGAAAATTGCGTGACCAAATGCGGTGCAAAAGAGAAATAATGTGAGCATTAATTCATATCGTAAAAATAACATTGAGTTTATTTTGGCCTTTTGGGATGCAGGGACTGTTTCTTTTTTATGCAGCACTATCAGTAAAACTAATTTTGTCAGCAATCCAAAACCAAAAAAGAAAAAACTTAGTCAACAAGATGTGTAAGGTATCACACTTCCAGTAACAAAAAAAATAGACAATCTTTGCCTATATTTCTTATATAAATAGGTGTGCTTTTTGAACATAAAGTCCAACAATAACATCACATGTTTGCATTATTCATTTTAATGTGGATGTGATACTATGCATTCATTTACTGTCCACTATTCGACAGTTTTCTGTACTCTTCCAGCAAATGTGGGACGTCATCCATTCGCAACTGAAATTCATCACAGAAATAACACTATGAGAAGAGAGTTAAAAAAGAACAGATATTCATAACAAAATTCAATTTCACTCTCACTTGGGATACAATATCATCCGAGGATATATAGAAGCCCCCAAAAACGTTAAACTGGTGAACATTTCTGATATGTCCCGTGACTGTAAAAAAGATTGAAGATTTTCTCTGCATTTATGAGAGACAGCTTAAGTAGGTTCTATACATCACTTGTTCAGAAAGTTTTTGTCATTTTTGGGATGGAAACACATTTCAGAAATGAAGAGCAAGGTGAATGGTTATGGAAGTATGGAGATGTGAAAAATAAGAGATGTTTTATTTTTAATTTCCTTGCAAACAAATAGTACAGTACTCGTAGTAGCAATTAAATATTTACATATAGTAAATATTATGATGGAAGGATGAAATGAAACACAAAGCTGTGCTATTAGCTAGGGGTGGGCACGGGTGGTTAACCGTCTTTCGGTTAACCAACTTTCGGTTAACCAAGAGTTTGGTTACTATATTTTCAATACTATTATCCGTACCATAACATCGGTTAACCGGGTATCAATTAACCAAAATTCCGGTTAACCACTAATCGGTTAACCAAATAACCACAACATAAATACAAAAATGAATTAAGCTGTCAAAAAAAATAAAATGTAGGAACGATCAATGTATACGTAAATGCTAGCTGGTGTTGAGGATATGAATTAAGCGTGTTATGTAGGAACGAACCAATATGTTTATATATTTAAAATTCACAGCAACATTTTTTCTTCACAAATTAATTAGAAGAAATTATTATGCAGTCCACGACCCACGTAGTATTATTTTACTACGTATTTGCTTAATTAAAATTGATTGCTTTTGTTCTTTAATTATCCCAGTTCTCCTCAGGCTTTGATATCGCAGCATGGTTGCCGTCAGATGAGACAACCATATGTTGTACACTCGTACGTAATGTATTGCAGTAATATTTTTAATTTATGGCAGATACAAATGAAACCGAGTACGAACTTCCGGTTATCGGTTAACCGACCTTGGGATAATTTTAAAACCGTAAGCTTACTGCACATTCTGCGCATATATAAAGTGCAGTAAGTTTCAAGAATTTATTTGACTGCCTTTCCGGTCGAATTTTGAGCTGAAATTTGGTATGGACAAACTAGACTTGATGAGGAACATGCTCAAAAAAATTCAACAAAAAATTCCACCGGGAACCGCCCCAAACAGTAAAGTTCGGACGGTCCCTCCCGTCCCTCCAGAGGGACCTGAGCAGTCCTCTCATTTTGTACTAAAAGCCTCCACATTTATATGGATCTCCATGGGAGTCAGGAGACAAAACAGAACCTATTCTTTATAAAATTCTAGGGAAAATTGTCAAATAAGTCCTCGTACTATTATGAAAAAGTGAATTAGATCCTCGTACTTTTTATTGAATCAATCAAGTCCCTGAAGTATTAAAAAGAATCAATTCTTACATTTAGCCGGTTGAACTAAGGTATTGCCGGTTAATTCTGTACGGAAATCCACGTGTCAAATAAATTTTATTTTTTCTTTTTCTATTCTTCTTTCTTTTCCTTACTTTCTTTTTTTTTCTTTTCCAGCTGGCTTCTTCTTCCCTGATGCATTGACCAGTTTTTTTCTTTCCTTTCTTTTTTCCGCAATTCTGCTCACTTTCTTTCTTTGATTTCTGCACCTGGTTTTCTGCCTCACCTCATATTCTCACTTTTCCATTTGCTTTTTCTTTCTTCATTCTTTTCAGGTTCTCTTTCTCTTTCTTTAGATGGGCGGCGGGCAATGGTGGTTGGGAAGGGGTTGCTGACGAGCAGGGTGCAGCGAATGATATGGGAGACGGGAAGCGCGCGGAAGCATGGAGATGGTTGGTGGACAACCAGAGGCAGGAGACAGCCGTTGAGATCGAGGATGTTTTGGGCAAAGGTCAGTAACTGCGGGGTAATTTATGGCCGTGGGCGATCGGTGGTGACGAGTGCCAGCGGAGGTTGAGGAAGTCGTGGTCGCCGGCAGTTGAGACTTGAGAGAGTTGTGGTTACAGAGGGATGCTCTAATTTGCTAGAAAAAAAGAAAGAAATGCGCAAGAGAAAAGAACGAAGATGACAGGGAAGAAGAAATGGTCAGCGAGGAAGAGTGAAAAAGTAGAAAGGAATTAAAAAAGGAAAAAGAAAATCCAGATGGATGTCTACCGGTTGACCGGATCTCAACCGGTCAAAAGGGTAATTTGACTATTTTTTAATACTTCGGGGACTTGATTGATTCAATAAAAAATACGAGGACCTAATTGACTTTTTCGTAATAGTACAAGGACTTATTTGACAGTTTTTCCAAAATTCTAAACCTATTCCGAAAATCATTCTGGAGAACGTGTGTACTCCCTCTGTCCCAAAAAATCTTCTCATTTTCTTTTATGGAATGGTTTATGTGGCAAACATTCACTTATCTTTTTCAAAACTCAATCAAACTCGGAAGAATTTTTTGGGACGGAGTAATTTAAATTTAAATATTCTTCATGAAAAAGGTTTAAGTAACATCACACAAAAGTTAGCATACTCTGATGCGGAAAAGAAATGGTTTACTTGCAATATGAATACATTTGGCTCTTGGTTTACTTGCAAGGTTTCACTGAATGTAAACAAGACAATTTAAGAAGACAAAAAACAGAGACAAAACCTACACTACCTTGTTGTCTTCTGAAAGGAATTCACTTCATCACAAGGTGGCACCGTGGTTTTAAAAACGACGCTTAAGGAGTGCTTGTGTATCCTTCTACTTTTGTGAAGTGATTTATTATAGAGATCATATGAAAAGCGATTAGTAGTCAAAATCGATAATGTTTGAAGAAAATATTATTTTAAAAAAGTAGAAGCTAGAGTATTTGATGAAAAAGAACTTTTTTGTGTACTAGAAAAAGTGAAAAACAGTTTAAGCATCTCTCCTGCTTTTACAGCTTTTAGCTTTAAACTGTTTACTGTAAGCATAAGAACCTGCTTGAAAATATTGCTTTGATCTATTTTAAAGCAAAATTCATGAAAACATTTTTTGAAGCTGTTGGAAACACTCTTATAGCTCATCTTGGTACATTCAATTCAGAGTGCACTTTTCCCTGAGATGTGCCGAAACTGTTAACTAGGGATTGATTGATGTTTCAATGGGCACCTTTTCAACTCACATAATTCTTCATACAATAAACAAGTTACTTGTACATTGTACCTTTAATCATTCCAGCAATATAAAACCCCAGAAAAAATGGTATAAAGTGGATGAAAAAATAAGCATAATAATAACTTGGTGATAGGAAAACATATGGAAAAATCTATTTCAGCCAAATAAGTAGAATACAACAACATCCAAGCCTTAGTCCCAAAAGATTTTGGGGTCGGTAGCCAAATAAGTAGAATAAGTAGAATAATTTAGTGGTAGCAACTTATTCTGCTGATAAGTAGAATAAGCGGATTAACCACGTTTAGCCACCAAATAGGCTCTTTAACTGAATTATGTTTGTTGTTAGGTCGACGAGCATGTTTAACAAGCTTAACTACTAATGTAGATCATCTGGCTTACTAAAAAGCTATAGAACATCTAGAAATATGAGGTTAGATAAACGATTTTAACATCATGTGTTCTTATCCTATACTCCTAGTTCCTATATATTTAACTTTATAGCGTGAATCTGTTTGAAAATGGGATTTTCGGAAAGGTTTAGATGGGCTGAGAGGAAGTATGGCAGAACAAGAAGTTTCTATGAGAAACCGTGGCACGATCATTCAACTTTTTAAGACATTAAAGCATTACATAATCACATGTCACTAACATTGGAAGTAATATCAAGAAAGAGACAGCATCAAGCATATAGAGAATGCAGGACAACTAAACATGTAAGTTTCTAATATAGAGAATAAAAATTTTAATTTCAAAAACTAGAATATAAGAAAAATATACTTAATAGAGGCAATACTTGTATCCAGATTGAAGAGTGTAGACTTCAAGCAACCACTTTTTAACGTCCAAACCATCATACCTGCACTCCAATTAAAGCTAAATAAGACCACTAAAATGAGAGCAGGCAATTAACCACTGGGCAGTTGAAACTTACAGAATAATATTATTGTTCCCAAAAGCAGCTGCAAAATATCTTTCCAAAGGCATGCCACCTAAACTAGTAAGTTCTGGTCATTGCCACCATTACCAGATAACTAGAATTTAAAATAAAAATAGAAAATGACTCAGGCGCCACACTTTTAAGCAAATGAGCATCTCTTGAGGAATGAATTGTTATTTCATCCCCTTAGCATCCAGATTCCTTTCTTTCAGTAAAACAAATCTCGTGCTGTTGGTTTAGATAGATTTTAGTAAGAATTTGTCTTTCCCAGTATTCAGGACCCAAGAGTATCATAGCTTAACAGTGAAGAAACTCAATATAAGCACATCTACAAGGGAAAGAATATAGAGCAGAGTACCAGGCTATCATTTAGTATCTTCAATCCAAGGGATGTACAGAGATTGTAATGGACATCATAGAATTTCGTAAGTATTACAACTACGCTGTAAATGACCAGCTATGTCACCAGTAGTCTCTACACGAACATGATCCATCTCTAAAATGATGGAATCTGCTTGAATCTCGAACACTAATCCCCCTCCCAACAATTTTTGATATTATTTTGATGGCAGCATGACAATCCATACATGCTCGCAAGTTTTTCATCACTACAATAGGCGATCCTTCTGGAGTACTGATTAAAGCAAATGCAATAGCTAATCTTTCACTGTGATACTTCAGTGAATCTATCTTAAGTTCTTCATCAACATTTTGTAGTGAACAGCTTGTGTCCGGCTTGTATCCTTCCTTTTCCATTTCCTTCCCCAACGAGTCAATTTTCTTTCTAATTGCATCAGCTTGTGGGTGGGTTCTATCGTTTGCAGTAAATTTATGTACTGCATGGTCAATTTCAACCCAACTACATGCTGCTACTTTCTTAACTCCATTTTCCCTCATACCCTTTTTCAGAGTGGCTACTTTATTCCACTGGCCAGCCTCTGCATAGATGTTAGACACATTGGCATAAACATAAGCAGCAGCAGCATTTAGCGTGTCCATCTTAAATAGTTGGTCGGCAGCCTTTCCTGCAAGTTCATGATTCTTATAAATCCTGCATGAGTTCAAAACTGATGACCAAAGGATCTCATCCGGCACATATGGCATTTCGGCAATTAATTCCTCGGCCTCATCAAATCGTCCATTTCTACACAGTACATCGACCATAGTTGTATAGTGTTCTCTCTTTGGTTCCAAATTATATGATTGGGTCATCAAACTAAAATACTCTCGTGCAACTTTAACTAGCCCATGATGACTGCAAGCAGTTAAGACACTGAGGAAACTAACTGAATCGGGATAAAGACCGGATTCAGACATTTCTTTAAATGACCTCAGAGTAGCTTCATCGTCGCCATTTTGAGCATAAGCTGAGAGCATTGCATTCCAGGAGACTATGTTTCTATCAGGCATCTCTTTGAAAATCTTAATCGCGTCACTTATGGACCCACATTTTGCATACATGCCAAGGAGGGCACTTCCCGAGAAAACATTAGACATCAATCCCAGTCTGATAATATGCGAGTGTAACTGCCTCCCTAGTGAAACCAAAGCCAAGTTTGCCGAAGCTTTTAAAACACTTGCATAAGTAGCATGGTCGCCATGAACACTTTGTCTAGCCATTTCCTTGAACAACTCTACAGCTTCCTCAAAAAGGCCCTTTTGGACATATACGGATATTATTGCTGTCCAAGAAACAGAACTATAAGCCAAATTAGCAAATATGACATTTGTTTCCTCTAATCTGTCACAATTTGCATACATGTCAACTAGAGCATTCCCTACTTGAATCTCTGAATCTGATTTTGTCACTATTGTCTGCGCATGGATTTGCCTTCCCAAATCTATATTCTGAGTAGTTGCAGCAATGCTCAACATAGTTGCAAATGGAAATTGTCTTCTGTCAAATGTAGTGCTCCTTAATTTGCGTAAGAGATGGAATGATTTTTCATACTGACCATCCCATGCAAATCCTGTAATTATAATATTATAAGAAACACCATCCAGCTCAGGCATTTCATCAAACAGTTTAATCGCATCAACTAAAAGGCTCTGTTTAGAATAAAAGTCAAGGAAGGCATTGCCTACAAATACATTACACACAAAGCTGGTCTTAATCGCAAGTGCATGGACTTGTTTCCCAAATGCAGCAGCATCCAATCCAACAATAGCACCAATTACCGTAGCAAAAGTGAAATCTGAAGGCTTCAGGCCCAAATATTGCATCTCTTGAAAGAGCATTAGTGCTTCTTCATTTGAACCATGTTTTGAGTATCCCGTGATCATTGCATTGTAGGTCACCGAATCTTTATCCGTGATTTCTTCGAAGAGTAGAAGGGCTAGATCAAGGTGTTGGCACTTGCAGTAAGAATCCACCAAGCTATTGCTCACCAAGGAAACTGAACTGTTTCCCAACTTAATGATATGGGCATGAATCTGAAGCACTTCTTTTGCAGTTGATGTCCCGCCACAACCAGATAAAAGTGTTGCAAAGGTGATATGATCTGGATTCATCCCTGCTCTACACATCTCAGCATAGAGTGTAAAAGCTTCCTTGGGTTGCTTGTGATGTGAGTATGCACCAATCATTATTGTCCATGACACCTCTGTGCGGTCAGGCATACTATCGAACATCTCACTAGCACGAGAAAGATTGCCAGAACTCACATAACCTGAAATCATCATATTCGCTGAACAAGTGTTTCTACAAGGCATGCGTTCGTAGAGTTCTTCGGCCTGAGCTATCTGATTGCTTCTGACTAAATCCTTCAGCTGAAAGTTAAACCTAGAAGTTCTGGGATCAAAGCCGGTTTTGATTATGAGGGCATCCACATGAACTTCAACTTCATATTTACTGCTGTTGATACATTCAAAATTTAATATATGTACACACTCCTGATGAAGAAAGTAATATCATGCTAAAACAAATTATTAAGAGAAACTAGTACCCAGAATAATATCGCTTGGCAAAAACTGGGAGTGCACTCCAATGCTTTGTAGATCTTGAATGGGCCATGACCCCGTAAGGAATCATGAGTTTAACAGCCATTTATGTAATTTTTAGCAATGTCAATGATGGATGCCTTATCAACTAGTCCTTCAAAAGCTACAAGCTCACAACCTTCGATTTTCGGGTGTTCACGGTGGTGTGTTCTCTGTCCACTTGAAAAGAAAGAACAATGTAAGCATATTTTAAACGAACAAAGATGAAAATATAAATGCAGATATTATAGGTAATATGATTACCAATTTACCATCAAAGGTCAGGGGTATCAGAATTCAGAAAACATTAAAGGACTCCTTTTTTTTTTTTTTTTTTTTTTTTTTTTTTTTTTTTTTTTTACAAGCAGCAAACTGGAATTGATAAGAGGTGGGCACAAAACACCGAATGGACAAGGAAAATAAAATAAAATTAAGATAAAATTAAGCAATGGTGGGCCTGCTCGATCCTCCGAATAGCTCCAAGCCCGATCAGATGTCAAACATAATAGGGCCAAAGGAGGGTGAGGGTATTATCAGTAGCGTTTTATAGCATGAGTAGGTTCTGGAAAGAGGCACGATGGGGGTGTTTCAAAACATCTTCTTCCGTCATCCGGCATCTCGGAAGAGGGTAGAACCGTTCTTGTCTTCAAAGTAGGCTCTCCTAGCTCTGGAGGGGAGATCATTTAGTGCATAGGATTGCATGGACTGGAGGAGAAGGCCCGACCTGGCGATATGGTGAGCACAGACGTTCGTTTCCCTCGGACGATAGCAGAAGTGGATGCCATGCCTTAACCCAAGTCGATTGATATTCAAGTTATGAAAACTCCTATGAAAAAGATTTTTTCAAGTTATGAAAACTCAATTTTGCGATCATCTCAAACTACCCAACTTATTAGCACAGGCACTGCCACCCAAAATCCTGGCTCTAAAAATATCATTTCAAGATTCAAAGTAATGAGGTTGTCACGTATAAAGCACACCTGTTATAATGCTCGGCTTTCAAAACAAATACTCCGTAAATAAGAATATCTTGACGATACCAAACTTTAGAAGGGAAGTAACACTGTAAGAGAATTGTAGATCAATAAGAAACCACCAAAAAGGAACTAAAACCCAACAAATGAGCAAATCTTAACATGACACAATTAACAAGTGAATGAAAAAATTCAGAGTACAAGAAAATGAAACGTCAGCCATAAGTATGACTGGTTAAGCTTGGATACAAATTTTGCACTTCCCTGAGCATGGACACTGGCCAACAGGTGAGTTATGATACTTTGAAGAGAAAAATGTTATTCTTAACTACAAGGAACATATCAAATTTGTTTGGGGTACTTTGAAATAAACAACATGGAATGTAATTAAATTAACTTCTTTTTTGAAATAGGACTACTTTTCTGGACAGAAATTATCGTCCAAAGAGGAATTTATTTTTAAATGTATGGAGTAATAAATTAACAACACTTTAAAATAAGTACTTAGGGTGCACACAGAAAATAAGCAACCAAACAGGCAAATACACAACATTAATTTAAAAAACATTGGAAAATGTAGGTTGTCACGCGTTGTCCTATTGAGACTTTGAATGAAATCCAACTTATCTGCACTTTAGTACTAATTTAGCGAACTGTGAATTTATTTCAATTTATCAGTGTAATTGAGATAATTTGCATTGTAAAATCTTAATAGAAAGTCTTCCAATAAGAGTAACTTTTGGACTCCATAAATTTCTTATATTGAAGTTCCAGTATATAGAATAAATTAACAACATCAGCCACACTCCTACCCAATACCAACATTAAAATCCTTAATAGGAATACGTGATGATTAACAATTTAACGTATGGGGTTTGAAGGGCTTGAAGTTTTTATTTAAATTTGAAACAATATGTTTGTGCTTTTCTGAAGATTTAGAAATTAATCTTGATTGAAAATGCTCAAAATGGAGTATTTATTTTAATCTATTAAGATTAGGATATTTTATGGTCAATACTCAATACATGGAGTTCACATAGCTTGACGTTTTTATTTAGATTTGAGACTGGGTTTATAAAACAATTCAATTTATAAAATTTAAAAATTAGAGCTAGCTCGCGTGCCAAGAATGTAGCAGATAATGTTGATAAACCAAAAAACTTGATACCAATCATACCATACCCAATAACTTCCAAAATTTTGATTGTGAAGGTCAAATATTTGTACCAAAAACTCTTCCAAAACCCGAGAAGTGGAGTCCCGGAAGTTATTTGTACAAAATTTAAAAGACACTTTAGAAAAATTAGTACTATATATTCTTTTTCACTTTGATTTCAAATGGGATTCTTTAGAAAAATCAGCCTTGGGTTTCCAGAATATGTGCCCCTATTATACAGCTTGCCTAGCTCGAAAGATATAATTTGTATTTTAGAATAATATCGTTATTTTATGAATTCTCTAGTAGGCAAATAAATTAAATATTATTACAATTTTTTACTTCCAAAAGAATCAAGCTAAAAGAAGAGTCTTATTACTAAATGACCAAGCAAATTTAATGTCCCTTTACCTGAATCACCAAGAGCAACGAAGACTCTTACCTCAATCGATTCCAAAAAGTAATTAACCAAATGCGTTGAAGAATGAAAAATTGAAATTTACCATATAGCCGAAGCCCATGAGTGTGCAGAGATAAAGAACAGAGTGCAATTGGAGCCTTGGAGGAGATGTACAGAGAAGATATGGAGTGGATACTTTTTTGCATCTTGCATGATGGTGAGGCTGCCGAAAGATTGGTCTGGGAACGAAATTTGAATTTAAAAGCAGGGAAATAAAAAGATCATCCATGTTACCAAAAAATTCTTTTAAACAATTTTTAAGAACTTTCTTAAAGACAACTTTGTCTTTAAATTTGTTAAGAAAAACTAATTCTACATACAATAGGTCAGGCACAGACAAAAAAATGAACAACATGTCTTGTCTATCACATTAAACGGATATTAGTGCAATCATTAGAATCCGGGAAAAAGAAGATATGAGAGTGTAAAATCAGCGGCATCACCGGCATGCAAATCAATGCCTATGTGCAGATATTAATTTTTTTTGTGAATAACTTTTCAAGATTTTCAGCTTCATTTCTCCATACAGACAATTGCCTTTGACCAAACTAATTGTCTTTATCTAATCCGACCCGTGTGTACAAAAAGTTAGTACAATTGTCATTTTCGTAGAAAGACAGCAAATGACAGTAAGGAATAGAAGAAATGGAAGCTTCTTTAATTGCGAAAGTATGGAATTTTTTAGTGACACAAGCATTTTATATAAGTAGGAGATAAATATTAGGTTTTAACACATTACAATGCGAAACAAATTAAATCATGAAGGTATGCTTCAAGTAAAATGAGTAAAGGATGAGATAACAGACCTAAAATGAATAATGAAGACACTTGTAAGCAACAGCAAGGCGAGAAGACACTGCAGCACAGCTTCGCTTTGAGGGTTTTTGAAATCATAAAAAGTAAATGTTTACCGCGCACTATGTCTTCACTCGTGCGCACTCTAAAAACTTCATAGATGGTCACTCATCTAAGATTAATCATGTGTAAGTACGTTTAACCTAAGAGTTTTTAGAAGATAGACTCTTTTAAAAGAAGATGCATCTTATTCATATGAGATGAGATGTACTATTAATACTTTTAAGTTCTTCTAGGGTATTACAATCACCCTCCCTTAGAAGCGCACAACGTCCTCATTGTGCCTGGAAGCTAATCTCCATCAAGCCCTAGAATCCTCTCTTGTTAAGTGCCCAAACCATCAGATCAACCCACTATTACATGATTGCTCTAAAACTACTTGTAGCATCCCTTAACTTGTAACACACTCATCCCATGGGGTCCAAGTTGCTAAGATGCCCCTGAACCACCCCATCCCTTATGACATATATTTTGACCTCTTCGGGGTCTGAGACTGTTACTCCTACATCCTTTCTAGACCCACCACTGTCCACAAATCAACACAAGTTTTACGGCGTGTTTTGTCCTCACTAATGCGCACCCGGAAAAACTTCACAGGGGTCACTCATCCTAAAACTACAAATGTGCAAGCATGTTAATTCTTATACTTCTTTATAGATGAGTTCTCTTGACAAAGTTGCACCATTTTTATATGAGTAGTATTGTGTGTGCATGTACCCCTTTTCTTATGTGCAATGTCAAGACTATGTACATATAAACATTCCCTACTGAACATTGTGAAGCAAAGTCATCAAAAGGATAATCGAGTTGTGTCTCTCTAGGGTCTTTTTCAATTACAATGTCTCTGGACTCTCTGGTTTCGGCATCTAAATTCTTCCGATCAGCAGGGTCATAAATATCCAAAATCAAAGGACCAGCCGTTGGAGTTAATACATTTGATCTATCCAAATCATTTTTCGGTTGCTCAGTACCAATGTTATCAACTCCTAAATTTTCACCTCCCATGACTTCATCATTATGAATTGTTTCGTTTTCGTTAGCAGAATCATTTTTTAGAAGGATCTTCAGATTTTTTCTTCTTCGTAAAAACAAACTTTTCCATTGCACCTTTTTTACTTAGGGCAGCATTATCTAATCTTCTTTTACTCATTAATTTCTCCCATCCAAATTCACCCATTTTTGTCAAACCTTGAAATTACCTATATTTAAAATTTTAATTATAATTGAAAATTTTTACCTAATAAAATGAACAAATTATAACACTAACACTCAATAGGTAACTATCATCAATTAAGTGATTAACATCTAACAAAGAATCCAATTATTTGTCAACTATTCCTAAATGATAAATCATAATCATTTATAAACATAATTAAATTAATTTATCAATTACTAAACTTAATCACACAAATACGCACTCAATCAACCATCAATTCATCATTCATATAATCGTACTACTCAAAATCTCAAATAAACATTCTGGCCGAAGCTTAAGGTTGGAAGGGAAGGAAGGCCTACGGCGTACCTGATAACCAGTTAAACACAAGTCCAGAACCGGCAGAAGTGCAGAACGGCAGAACTTGTGAAGACTGAAAATCGAAGGCTTGGCTGCTTGGACAGTAGAGTACACCTGTGGGCTGTCTCTGTGCCGCTGAGACGCAGACCCGCTGTGGACGCCGATTTCAAACGACAAATGCTGAAGCCTGAAGGCCGGAACCGCCGGAACTGGAGACTGGAGTCCTGGAGTACGTCGTGCGTGAGTTTCAGACGCGTGGGGAAAGGCCAAGGCTGCGCGTTAGTTAACTCGTTTTTCCCCTTTGGGCTTCTTGGGTTGCTTGGACGGTAAACAATTACTCCTTCTGTCCCAGCTAAAATTGTCATGTTTTACCTTTTCGGTTCGTCCATTATCTCATACCAAATTTGGTAAAGTTTGTGTGGTTCTAAATCATTATTACTTTATTCTTATTTTATCAATTTAATATCAATCACATAAATCACTTTTTATTAATTTGTGTGTCACTCTATTTTGTCTCATTGTTAGTGGGACGAAGGAATATTAATTTTGGGTTAAAACTCAGCCTCCTCAAACATACTACTCCGTATAAAGAAATAATCATGGGCCTAAAAAATTCATTTCTTTTGGGCCTAGGGCCACCGCACCTCCCCCCCCCCCCAAGCCGCCCCTGATACTATCGGATTTATTAGTTCATAATATAAACTTCATTATCTCTAACACTTTATAAATGTGTGTGTAGGGAATGGTTCAAACACAAAAGAGTTTTAACGTGTAAAATAAGAATTAATATCAGTCGTATAAATTGTCGATGTGGTGCAAAAATATTCTGATCCAATGTACTTTTGAAATAAAAGTACAAGGGAATAATTGTTATATATGCTAGTGAGTACAAGTTGTCAACCACTAACTATAAAATAAATGTTGATATTTATACTACTAAGGGGTAGGTGGTAGTGGTGATGTGGAGGTTCATGAGTGGCTAGCTTCTCAATCACCAAATCTATTGCATTAAATGTGTTCCCCGCCAATATCTTGCTTTCTCGCCAATATGCTCAGGCCGATCATCTCCAAGCTTCCTGGTTCTGGATCCAAACAAGCACAAGGCTACACACGTCGCTCGGGCCACGTCGAGCATCTATAGTGAGGCCCGTCGACCGACTGCTTTAGCCCCAACTGGCCAAGGCGCTGTGGATGAGCGTCAGGACACGAAAATGAATGTCGGGCATGGTTCGTGGGCCGTTGCTCATCCCCCTCTTCTTTACAGGGTATTGGGTTGATTCTGTATTGGGCTGATTACCCCAACACAAGTCACCCACTTCTGATGTTCTAAGCGTGCGCGGGACATAAGGATGCATAGATGTTCCCTCCAAGTCGAGTGTCCACGATGCCCTCGGTGTGATAGTTGATCAGACGGCTCCTAAAACCCAAGGTAACGGTTACGGCAGCCGGTTCAACTTCCAAGGTAACTGTAATGATTACGTTCTGGTTGACCTCCGCGCGACACGTGTCCCGGCATACGCTCCTCGCCACGTGTCACCCAATCACTAGATGGTCGGGTGGCAGTGATCTCTATAAATACTGGTTCAAATGGGGGATTTAGGGTTTTTTGAATTTCGCTCCTCCTCTCTCTAAGTGCCCCAGTGATCGTATGCCTACATCTCTGGCCCCTGGCAACTTCAACTTGCCATCACTTAGGTAATTTAATTGATTCCCTTTCCTTCCCATTCGTCTTGTTTTTCTTTTTCAATGTCGAATACCTCAGAGATGGCCCAGGATTCTCGCCTCTCCATTGAATCGTATTTGGGTTCCCATTCTTTGGGGAAAACCAGCACGTCGGGTAACACTGAATCGGCCAACACAGGTCAGGGTAATGTTGGAGGGGCGGCCGTAGACCAAGGCGGTGTTCCCGACGAAGGCCAAAACAACTCCAACAACAAGGCTTACTCGGGGGACGACCTGGATGTTTCCGACAAGGGCAACCCCCACGACATACCCCATCATGAGGTTCTGCTGTGGAACACCCACTGCTGTAATCACTTCTTCTCCAACTTTGCGTTATGCGAGTTCCCGGTGTACCTGCTGCCACCCGTTGTGTACAGTCTGCGCGGTGCGACCAGCCCTTTGATGAGGCGTCCCAGGATGATAATGGTTCATCTAGATTCAGTGAAGGTCGGGTTGCGGTTTCCCCTACACCCGTTTTACCTTGAACTGTTCCGGTGCTATCAGGTTGTCCTAGCTCAGTTCATGGCTTCATGCCAATTCCCACCGCTTTGTGTCTGCCTTCATTGTCCGCTGCAGCCTCAAGAAGGTGGATCTGATCCTAGATCTCTTCCATTACTTTTTCAAGCTCTCTCCCCAGAACTCTGATGGGTTCCTCAGCATCAGCCGCCGCCCCGAGCGGAATTTATTCCATGGGCTCCCCTCTTGGATTCACGAGTGGAAGCATTGATTCATTTTCGTTCAGTTCCCCGAGGGCCAGCTTCCCGAGCAGTGGAATGGGTATCAACTGAAGATTGGATCACCCCGCATTACCGAAGACCTTGATAAGGCTATCAAGAAAGTGAAGGTCGGTGGTTCCGAGCATCTATTACCCTACCTGACCTCCAAGTCGTTTGCCGACGCGGGAATAGATACTGCTCGTGTCACTTCACTATTCTTCTCCTCGGACCACATCTAGGCCATGGGTTGCCATGTTCCTGATCGAGGTGAGTGCCTTAGGGGTTCATGCCGCCCAGTTTGAACATATGGTTCTATCTTGTTTTAGGTCTTCCCACTACCAAAGAACAATTGGAGAATGACGCCATGAAGCTGACACGTGCTGCTAAGGCTACCAAGCAACATGCGGCCAAGAAGAAGGCTATTGGTCGGGTGGCCCAATCTTCTGAGGCAACTTCCACTGCCTCACAGGGCGCACGACAGGCCGATGCCAGTGTCGCCCGAACTTCCTCGGCTGTCGTCGAGTCCCGTCAGGAAGGTCCCAGCTCAAGCACTGCTGCCTCCCTGGAGGTATCACCCATCAAGGTGGTTGTTGGTCGTCAGGTCGGGCCCATGAAGGAGAAGGCCTCCAAACGGCCACATATTGAAATGACCGTTGTTCCATCTTACGGAATCGATTTGCCCTCGCTTGGCCGTCCCTCCATTGATGTGTGGAGGGACTTAGTGTGCCACTCGGGCGTGGAGTTAGTGCCACGCCCGTCCCCTGATGTCGTGGAAGGCATGTTGCTATATATCGTGCTTCCACGTAATCTCCCATCACCCTTGTGATTTGGTCTGCTCTGAGTCATGATTGTCAACCATGAGACACATGGTTTCCGCCAGTTCCCTCATAATATGAGGGTCCCTCCTGGCCTCTAGGGGGGCCAAGTTTGTCATGTCCCCGTCATTCCCCTGTTGCGTCCATTTGCTGCTAGAGGGTTCGGCGGACGTCAGTGTGCGCGACCTCCTTCTGTTATCCAGCTGCTCGGAGAGGTCGCGGGTGCGTTCAGAGGAGATTCTGACCATTTTTGCTTGTTGTAGTTTTTCAAGGTGTTGAGGTTTATTCCTTCAACTCCAAAGGTCCAACACCTTCCTTTGGGTTTCGTGGGGTATGTTTTATTGGATTGGGTATGATGAGTGACATAAGCAATAAATGATTAGGAAAAAAGAATATTCAGTAACAAGGTCGAGTTCTTATTTAGTGATAATAATGAACAATTACACCACACTGCGCACCTTATTGCTACCCGAGGTCGAGCGTCTAGTCTGAGCTGAGAATATAAGGAAATACTACCTCTGTCCCACTAAGTTTGGGACAAAGGGGTGTGGTGTGGTTTTTAAGAAAAAGTAGAATTGTATGGTTGGTATTGAATTGATAAAGTGTGAATAAAGTAAGAATGAATTCTAACCACTCGAATATTACCAAATATGGTATGTGACAAACTTAATGGGACTGACGGAAAAGGTAAAACGGGACAAAGTTAAGGGGACGGAGGGAGTAATTGTTATGCTGGTGAATACAAGTTGTGAACCCCTAACTATGAAATAAATGAAGATATTTATACAACCAAGGGGTAGGTGGTAGTGATGATGTGGAGGTTCATGAGTGACTAGCTTCTCAACCACCAAATCTATTGCATTAGATGTGTTTCCCGTCAATATCTTGTTTTCCCGCCAATATGCTCCAACTGATCGTCTCCGAGCTTCCTGGTTCTGGATCCAAACAAGAACAACGCCACACATGCCACTCGGGCCACGCCGAGCGTCCACAGTGAGGCCCGCCGACCGACTTCTTTGGCACTAACTGGCCAAGGCGCTGTGGAGGAGCGTTGGGACATGAAGGCGAACGCCGGGCATGGTTCGTGGGCCGTTGCTCAATCCCTTCTTCTTTACGGGCGATATTCAGCCGATTCTGTATTGGGCCAATTACCCCAACTAAATGGATGGATTAGATGAAAAGTGAGAACAAATGGATGGATTAGATGAAATTTAATCGCAAAACACGTTGTCGAAAAAAGTGCAAACGTTCATACTGTAAACTGGATAGATAATGAACAAAAGTTTTATGACCAAAAATTTATACAGATCTATTATAAAACTCCAGTTTTGACTTTAAACAGAAATTGACAAATGGAAATTGTATGACCAAAAATGGTATAGAGGAGAAAAAATAATGTGAAGTACCGCAAATTATACGGTGCAACCGGCATACCATGAGCATGATATGCCCGGTCTGATACGGCACCGTATTGATTAATAAAAATCACTTACCCTCTTCCGATTTGTAAAATCCGGCTCTAGCAGATTCAAATTGGAACCAGGAGGTAGCCAGCGTCGGAAGTTGTCGCAACTCGCAATACAAAAGCTCTGCTACAAAACATCTGGAAGCTTCCGATCCCTACTCCCAACCAGTAGACCTCTGATCGATCTGAAGCTCTGCTACAAAACATCTAGAAGCTGTCGATCCCTGCTCCCAACCAGTAGACCTCCAATCGATCTGAAGCCTGGCCGCCTGACACGAGGATGAGAATCCGACCTTTTGGCTCCTAAACCTTGTAG